GGGCTGGGTGGGGAGGGGCTGGTCACCCCATGGTGCCCTTATAAAACTCAACGTTTAACCTACTCACGCCGGCTTGTGCCCGCCCTCACAGTCGGGCATATTTGCGGAATACACCACGCCGCCGTTGACCCTGGCCATTGACCGAGCAACCCAACGTTCCTACCAGCTCCCTCCGCAGGAATGTGTTAATCTCCACAAGGCAAGTTAGTTTTCTCCCACGTGCATATAACGCAACGGTGCAATTCTCATTGATGGAGTTGGCCAAACATCTAAATAGAGGACCGCAGAGCTTGGGTAATTGTTACCACCTATTCAGGCGGCCTCTCTCCTTGTCGGCATTAAAAAATGAAACGACTGCATTTTAAGATGAAATTTGCACGAGTGACATATAAAATACAATTAAATATTGACTGAAAGCTTTCGTGACTGCAGGAATTCATATTCTTTGGGTCTTTCGGTAAAGCCACGTAGATATAAAAATAAATAGTAAAAAAATATCACGACGTTTCGATCGCAACACAAGCAATCGTCATCAAATAGTCTAATTAACCCAGCGGTCGGTTACATAAAACACCGTAATCCATATTTTTTCCATCACTTCATTTATTTACTGTAATGATATTGCTCTGTCAGATCGCAAATCAAGGATTCATTGGTTTTTGGGGTGATTTTTTGCAACAAACCAGAAGTTTTATGAATTAATGGCTTCAGCCAGGTCACTTACAACTGCACTACAGAAACAAACGTCCATTAGTTGTTCTTCACTGAATTCAGGGTAGCACGACTACGCTGGCGAGCGTCTAAAACGATGTTGTACGACGGCATGTGGGTGGGCAGCAGCTAGTTGGAGCAGAGCGTGAGGGATCGCCGCCCTGACCTGGGTGAGTGGAGCCCAAATGCATTCATTCACGAGGTGGCGCTCTTTTGGGACCACTGCTCGACATGGCAGGATGCCCTTGCTGATGCGCTTCGTAACAGAGGCTGCAATGGGTCCAGTGCAATCGTTAGGGGTGTAAGGAGGCGTCGACTAAACGATTGATTGCTGTTTTCAACCTCATGATACATCAACTTGCGTGTGTCTGAATCTTTTTTTGTTGTGGTTTATATATTTTGCCGGTGAACCCCCTCCAATTCATAGTGGCTGCTAAATTCACCCTGATGTTAAAAAAAAAACATATCTTACTAGATTTGAAGCTTTCGTGAGTGCAGGAATTACTCTTTGGTTGTTTCGGTAAAGTTACGTAGAAAGAAATTAAATAAAATAATAATAGAATACGACGTTTCGATTGCAACACAAGCAACCATCATCAGGTACAAATGAATGAGAAAACAAACATAGTAAACTTAGAGATATAATGCAATACAACACAGAGAGTCGGTCAACACAACAGTCAACACCCTACCTGGTTGATTTCGTTCTTCCAAAGATTGCTAAATTTGAGAGAGAGACAAAACATAGACACGGAGACACACAGACAGACACACAAGCAGAGAGAGACACACAAGCAGAGAGAGACACACAGAGACACAGAGAGAGAGAGAGAGACACACACACACACACATATATTATTTATTTAATTTCTTTCTACGTGACTTCACCGAAACAACCAAAGAGTAGAACATATCTTCTTGACTTTGCATAGTGACATTGCATCCACCGCTAAAGATTGTGCTCTCCTCGTTGAAGCTCCGCTAAGCTAATGGGCACCACGCGGAGCATCATGGCCCTTGATCGGATATTAGAGCGCATTCTTAAGTGCAGCTATTCGATGATTACGGCCCTAATTAGCAGTAAATGGCAAGCATCTGTTAGTTTCGCTCTTCAAATCAGCCTCCACAGCTCCGACGGCTTGCACGGCATGCCAGCAGCGCACAGTGTGCTGCTGTACAGTCTGAAACAACGTGTTTGGTGACGACGCTGCTGCGTTGGCAGCGGTGCACAAGCAAGAAAGAACAACACACCCAGCACACTTGTCATAACGCTGTCTTAAAAGGAAAATTGTTTAATAAGCAAAATTTCGGGTAAAGGTCCCCTCTATCAGCTATGCAACGTCACCTATTGTATGTGTTCCCTCTCAAGGCAGGATTATTGATGGATGTGTTGGCATATTCTGTTACGGAACAGCGTTGTGTGCTGCGACAGAGCTCAATATAAACACTGCATAGCAAGATTGATGATTGAAGGATCCGAGGCGAAATACCTGCCAGGCAAGCATGGGCAGCAGGGGAGTTCGATGGTTACACTCGTGCCTCGGAAAGAAGAGCCTGGGCTCGATTCCTGACTCGGATGCCTTTCTGTGTGAGAGTTTTGATGTTAACTACCTCGCCTAGGTATACAGGAGGTTGTGGGTTCGATCCTGACCCTGACGCCTGCTGTATAATTGGAGTCTGCGTGTTATCCCCGTGGTCGTGTGGATTTTTCTCCGGGTCCTCCGGTTTTCCCTTCCACATTTATGAAACGCCCGTTTAGAGTAGTTGGCTGCTATAAATTTCCACATGATAAGCCACGCCACTGAGATATCATTTGTGGCCAGGTCGCTTCTGGAAAATAGTTATATACCTCAGTGGGCCTTACCTGGTAAAATAATAATAATAGTAGTTAAATAGTTGATGTTATCCCCCTGTTCTGCATGAGTTTCGTCCGAGTTCTCTGGTTTCCTCCCATAGCTTGCCTAGGTTATTGCAACAACAACATTAAATGTAACTGGTATTGACCAAACATCTCAATGCTGCAAGTTACTCAACCGGGATTTACGCAGCAGCAGCAGCAACATCACCAACGCTTGGCAGGACGCTCCTGCAAAAGAGGTCTGTGAGACTGAGCGAAGCTTCTCTGGGCATACAGGGGCTGGGTCACAATCAGAATGCCTCTTTGAGTCGTTCCGCCGTGCGATTTCGGCAATTATAGGAAAAAATAGTATTTGCTCGGTGTCAATACCAATAGCACCGTCGAGATTAATTGTCGAAGGCCGTAATGACGCGGTGGCGACGGCGGTGTTTAGCCAGAGTTTTAACTCGCGCTCTCTCGATCCGCGTCTGTACACGAGCACGATTCTGTATTCCTCGAGCATTCACGACGTGATGGACAATTTATATTCTCGTGACAGCTCAAATAACCACCGTGCGGTTTTGCCCGCTCACGGTGTGTTTCTCGTTGCGCGTGTGTGGGCACGTGTGTGTTTGTGTGTGTGGGCACGTGTGTGGGCACGTGTGTGTGGGCACGTGTGTGTGGGCACGTGTGTGTGTGCACGTGTGTGTGTGCACGTGTGTGTGTTGGCCTACGTGTGTGTGCACGTGTGTGTGTGCACGTGTGTGTGGGCACGTGTGTGTTTGTGTGTGTGGGCACGTGTGTGTGTGTGTGTGGGCACGTGTGTGTGTGTGGGCACGTGTGTGTGTTGGCCTACGTGTGTGTGCACGTGTGTGTGTGCACGTGTGTGTGTGCACGTGTGTGTGTGCACGTGTGTGTGGGCACGTGTGTGTGTGTGCACGTGTGTGTGCACGTGTGTGTGCACGTATGTGTGGGCACGTGTGTGTGTACACGTGTGTGTGGGCACGTGTGTGTGTGCACGTGTGTGTGTGCACGTGGTAATTATAGGGACTGGAGCGTGCCACTAAGAGGTGGGGCCTTACCATCAGCCCCACCAAAACTAAGCACCTGCCTGGGTATTTTGTACCATCGGACACTCCACCCCCACAACTTCCAATTGGTGATGGGGCAGTAGTGGAGAGAGTGGAGAGTTTCCCATATGACCGGCTCCAGTTTAACAGCAGAGGTCTCACTCCGTATCAGTCGAGCGGCAATATCTTTTCATCGGTTGCGTAACAATGTGTGGAAGCTACCTGGTTTGTCGCTCCGAACGTAGCTTCAGGTCTTCTCGGCCACAGTCATTCCTCCCTTCTCTACGCTTGCGAAACGTGGACACCCCTAATGGAGCATCCCTAATGGAGTATCTTCGCCGGTTGGAGAAACATTTAGGCTGGCCTGCCCACGATCCATCCTGGGTTTAACCAGGCTGGATTGTGTGAGGAGCTCACAAATCCTTTAAAGATCTGGACAAAGTCCCATCGGTGAGCTCCTCTGGCAGGCAAGGCTGCGTTGGCTGGGTCATGTAGCCCGCATGCCCAGCCACCGCATACCTAAACAGCTTTTGTTCGGTCGGATCGAGGGGGCTAAACGGGCGCGGCACGGGCTACAGAGGAGATGGAGTGATGTGGTACAGGAGGACGTGGTGCTGAGTGGACTTGCCGATGACTGGTACCAGCGGTGTCAAGATCGGCCTCTGTGGAGGAGGCTCGTGAAGGACGCTATTGGGCTGTTGGAGGCAGTCGCCCTCCAACAACAACGGAGGGCGGAGGAGCGACGCTCACAGCAACGAGCGGAGCGCCGGGTGGCTAAAGCACAGCAAATTGGTACAGTAGGGGGCATAGGTGGTGCATCAGCCAGTCATCTCGGTCATCTCGGTCAGTCGACCCGTGGCACCTGGGTCTGCCCCTGTGACCTCCTGCCAGCGGGCATTCGACACTTCACGTGGCCTCAAGGTGCACATGGCCTGGCACAAGCGTCGTGGTGACGTCAGCGCCACTTAGTGGCGAATGGCGGTTGTTGTTGTTGTGTGCACGTGTGTGTGGGCACGTGTGTGTGGGCACGTGTGTGTGGGCACGAGCAACAACAGTGGTATAGGGGGGGAGTGGTAGAGTAGCGGTGAGCGCGCTGCACTACGAACCCGGTGAGCCGAGTTCGAATCCTGCTCATGGCCAACGCAAGTGACGATTATCTGAACCGGTCCTAGGCCCCCCCACCCCTTAGGTCAGCTCAGCCTCAAATGAGTACCTGGTGTGGTGTGCAAACACCGCCACTGGGGAGACAAAGGCGGACGGCCATGGTGCTGGCCACCCACACCCTCGTGTACCGTGCCGGCCTTCATAGGTGCTCGCTTAACAGCAACTTGCCGCAACACTCTGTTCATGCAGACGGGGGATCTCTTGTCTTTGTCGTGCAGGCACGTGGTGGTGTGTGGACACATTACGTTGGAGAGCGTCTCCAACTTCCTGAAGGATTTCCTGCACAAGGACCGCGATGACGTCAACGTGGAGATCCTCTTTCTGCACAGGTGAGCAATGCCGCCTACCCCCCCCGCCGCCCCTTCTGCCCCCCCCCCCACTTCCTCTCCCGTGCCCTCCTCGTGCATTAAACAGCAGCAGTGGCAGCCGCCGTGACCTCGTGCGTGTTGGTTTCCCATACCTGTCAACCCCTTATCAGTGCCTTACCTTATTACAGACCAATTCAGACCTTATTGGTCACCCCGTGTTCCTTATACATCTCAACGTTCATCTTACAAAGTCCCATCACAACGGAGAAGCACAAACAAATAGACACAAACATTTTCCCGTATTGAAACGGATGTACGCCGTATGGACCTGAAAACTCAATTCACCGTATGGGTTGACAGGTTTCCGTTCGTGTCTCCCAAGCAGTGATGCTGCCAAAGAAACGGTGGCTTTTGTCGGGAGGAGGGAAGTCGCTTGATTGGTTGCTGCACCTCCCCCCCACACCCCCCCCCCCAGTGGATACATTCTGGCTTTAGCTCTTGTTATAATTTCATCTGGGGACGCTCCGTACAGTTTTCAGCTCGCTCTCGTCCAGAGAGAGATAAGGTCTCAGACAAGCGGGGAGGCGGCCACTCGATGAGCCGGTGCCAAACAAAAATTGCCCAGGTTCTGCGTTCCTCTCTATATTAAGGCGTTATTGGTCAGGTAATGTGTTTACACACGGGAGGAAAACGGAGCACGCGGAGAAATCCCACAGCGTGCGAACGGGAAGCTCCATTTCACACAAACGGAACAGGTGGGGAGTCCACATTTTTTTGCTGTACTGCATTCTTCTGGCAAGTCAGGGTATTGACACCTTGAGACCCACAGGAAGGGAGTCGATCAAACTCTGTGCTAGCCGCCAACCCTCGCACCCCCCCCCCCCCCCCCCAGTGCTGGATTACAAGCATGCGCCACCGCCTGCCTGTCTGATGGCTGGCGCAGTAAGCGCGCATTTAAATCCCAGTCGAGGTTTGTCTCAGCCCTTCACACCTCCTCCAGAATAAGATGAAGAGGGTATGGGAAGTCAACAGAAGCTACTTCTTATGAGAGACTGGTCCCTGCCATTATATTGCGGTTTTGAAATCAATTGTCCAGGTCTACTGGTGGGGGTGACCACTGCCCAATATTTTATTTGAGCAGCGAGATACTCTTTGATAATGACATTTGGTATGAGCCTGGCAGGCAGGGACCAACATCACCATACGTTGTACAGTGTTCCCTTTATATAAAGGAAAATTATTTATGTAAAAACTGGGGCTCTGCATTTTTTATGTAAAAAAAAATGCAGAACCCCCGTTGACCAAAACATCCAGATATTTTTTTATGTATTTTTCCTTCAGACCAAAACACGTTAAACTGTATTTTTGTGTGTGTAGGATCTCTGTAAAGAAAAAAACTAAGCATCAATACTCCCTAGAGTTTTACGAGGGTGTGAAATACTAATTGTGTGTTATCTTAACAAATATTCGGAATTCCTCACCTCACTGCCACCCTCGTAAACTAAACTCTTTTTATTTTACCAGGTAAGGCCCACTGAGCTATTAGCTTCTTTTGCAGAAGCGACCTGGCCACAAATGATCGCTCAACGAAGTGCCTTATCATGAGGAAATTTACAGCAGCCAAATACTCTAAACGCACGTTGATTTATGTGGAGGGAAAAACCGAAGGACCCGGAGAAAAATCCACATGACCATGGGGAGAACACGCAAACTCCAAATATACAACCACCATCAGAGTCGAGATCGAACCCACGACCTCCTGTATACCAGGCGAGGTAGTTAACATCTCGCCACCGTAACGTCGTGAAGTAACAGTTCAATGTAAGGCGGCGCTCACGATGATGGTGGTGGCGTGATGCTTTCGTTTTTTGTGTTCGTACGTTACCTGCCAATGCAGCCGCTTAAACGTTGGTTGATTTACCTCGTGGGTGCTGTGAAGAGGAAATAATTATCCTCACCTGGCGACTGGGCCGAAACTCATTTAAAGCTGTATAACGGGCATTGTTTTGGTGTTGAGGCACCACTGACAGCTTCGTGCAATCCATACAATATTTTCACCCAGCCAGCACATCACTGTACTTGTACCAGAGCTATAATCATGGCCATCGTGCTTCAGACACGGAACAAAATGTAACCCCCTGAGTGGCGTGAGGCTCTCCTGACGAAGATTTCAACAGGTCCCTTTCTTTTTAAAAGTCAGAGTCCCAGAGTCGACATGCTCACATTGGGGTGGCGCTCATCTCCATCGGCTGTTCTGAGCAAGTGGCAAAAATTCTACATTCTCATGGCAGGGCCAGTCCCTTTATCTCCTATATTTTAGTCATGTATCTAGGGCCCAACTTTACAGCCTTCAGTTCGCAACACATTTCGATATGTGTGGTAAGCCAATTACTGAAACTTTTACTGTTTTTTTAAGCACGCAATTATTGATTACGCAAAAAAATGATTTTAACCCTTGTGGGAACGAGGCCTGAGCTGCACCCTGCCATTGCAGGAACACTGCCCCAGTGCGGCCTGGGCCTGTCACTTCATGCCGGTAACACAAAGTATTATACTGGTAGGAACCTCCTGGTTACACCAGCCCACAGGGGATTATTGTGTCCGTCCGTCTGTCGTGCATCCAAAAATGGGAGGGGTGGGGCTGGGTGGAGAGGGGAGGGTGGGCAGGGGCTGGGTGGGGAGGGGTGGGGCTGGGTGGGGAGGGGCTGGTCACCCTGTGGTGCCCTTATAAAACTCAATGTTTAACCTACTCACGCCGGCTTGTGCCCGCCCTTACTGTCGGCCATATTTGCGGAATACACCACGCCGCCGTTGACCCTGGCCAGTGACCGAGCAACCCAACGTTCCTACCAGCTCCCTCCGCAGGAATGTGTTTTCCCGTGGCAGGGGCCAGTTTCTGTATAGGACGACATCCGATGTCTTTCCCATAGTAGTACTCATTTGGTTGACCCTGGAAAGACAGTGACCTCAGTCGGCCCTTGATTGGAGTTTGCTGCAGCACCGCCCGGCCAGGTGGGTGACGATAGACACTTTGCGGCATTGCCTCGCGAGTGCGTTACCCCGTGTCTTGTGACATCCTGTGCTGTTGTGCTTAAGTTTGCGAACTCATCTTTGAAAATATATAACTTGGCCACAGGCGAAGAAGAGGGAGGAGATATTTAATGTGGCGCAGTTATCGACCTATGCTGTTGAGAGTCGGGTTGAATCGCCCCTTATTCACCCGGCGCTTGGGGGAGACCCTCAGTGTGTCTGTGGAAGCTTCACCCATTCCGAGAGCAGTCACTGGGTCTGTGATAAACAGCTATGGAAGGGAAAACGGTTCTGTCCTTCGCGTGCTCGCCATCGATTAGCACTCACGGGAAATGTGAATCAACTCGCCCTCCCTTCTCCCCGACGCTCCACACCTCCCATTGTGAGCACAACAGAGGCAGAGGCTCATTGTCATTCTGTACGAGTATCCTGTCCCCTGGTCCCATTTGGTGCAATTCTCCACCCGCCACTTTACAAGCTCCTTTCTCTTCACCAAAATGGAAACATTCGTCCGATCTTCGTGGAGCGACGATCTCAAACACGCGCCGTGGCGTCGAGCCTGCCGATACAGCGCGAGCGCACTCGGTGTGTCGATGGCGTCTGTTCGCCTAATCCCATGGTGCCCTTGTCCTTGGGTAGCAACAGTGGCGCTCGGCAATCCACGAAGAAACAAAGTTGCCCAACATTATCACCTTGGGCAAAGCTTCTCCTCACACAATTCGATTTGTGCTATCACCTCTTGTTTGATAAAACAGCAGATAACGATTTTTTTCCATTCCCTTCATCAGCACCGTTGCAGTTTTGCACCAAAATAGTTTTTTTGTTAATCAAAGTCGAAGGATGAAACTGCATGCCCTTAATAATTGGAAACACTCACAAGTCCCACGTGTGACCCCTTATTTTAAGCGTAATTAATTCGGGAGTGAGGGGAGACAGCCTTGCAGAGCTCCCTGCGATGTGAGCATCTCGTCCTTGCAGGGAACAACGCCCGCCAGGTGACAACCGCGGAACTGCCGCTGCCGTCACTTCCACTGCCCTCTCAGCACCAAGCAGTGCCTCATGCTCCACAGCGATTGGCTCACAGTTAGACATCTGATGCACGGGTTGCATAAATTAATAACCAGATTAAAGGATGATTTCGCGCAGTCGTTAGTGAACAGGCCATGACAATTTATCACCTGCTTCAAAGACAATTGGCTGCCTTGTTTTGAATCCATAGTTACCCAGCGACCTCTAGTGAGCATCCGACTTCCCATAAATCATAGAGCCAGTTATGGAAAAAAAGCTGTCTCCTGTCCAAAGACAACAGAGCACACAACCATTCTTCAGAATAAACATCACAGACTTCTGCCAATGTATTTTACAGTCTTCATTTATCTTCTCCGTAGACTCTGCTCTCCGACGGCACAGAAGTGTCTACCTCACTGCCGCTGACATTTAGCGTACGACCAAATTAAACGAAATCACCCATTTTTATTTTATTTTCTCAAACAAATACTTGCGATCGCGGTTTCGGCATCACGCCATGAGATGTGTCATGGAGCAATGTATGCAGAAGAAGTGGAGCTTATTTCATGAGGACTTTTTATCTCAGGAGGACTTCTTATCTCATGAGGACTTCTTCCATAAAGATCCTTCCAGTGACCTTGTTAAACCTTTACACAGTAGGGGGGCCATGCTTCTCCATGCACTCTGCCTATGAGATCTTGGGTTTCATGACAGTCACGCAAATGCATTAAACATCCTCTCTGTCCGCGAGGATAACGCTCTCGAAAATGCTCGCGAATTGCAGAAACCTCGTTCCAATGGGGAAAAATTGGGGTTACCTTCTTGGTACGAGTGAACATGGGGGGGGGGGGGGGGGAATGGTAAATGTTTAATAACAATGACCATAATAAATAAGGAATAAATTATGGAGAGCAATGTGTTTTTGTATTACCTTTGTTGATGATGATGATGATGATTTGACGACATTGCATTTCGCGTTATTT